GGCCGTTGATCTTTGCTATCTACGGTCAGTATCGCTTAATTCGTGTAAGTGGGACCTACCTTCTTCCCCCGAATACAACGTACGGTCATTATAGCTGTATTTGGGCTGTCTTTCAGACTAAATACAGCTATAATGACCGTACGTTGTATTCGGGGGAAGAAGGTAGCCCCCGCGAGGTCGACCCATTTTTATGGCGAGTTGTTGGAGACCGTCTCTCTCTCTCTCTCTCTCTCTCTCTCTCTCTCTCTCTGATTTCATGGAGACCATCTCTCCCAACGCTATGCCGGGGCTGTTTCCTCAGATTTGTGTGCTGAACTAGCTGTCTTCACGAGTAGATATCCTTTCGTTTCTGTTTTTTTGGTTCTTACTGTAAATGGACGACGGCCTTGAGATTTCATCATTGAACTGACCGGCCCGAGATGTTTTGTTCTGTTCTTCGGGTTGCATGTGGATTCGAACTCCGGTCTGTATTTCAACAGTTCATGGGTGTACCAACCGAGCTACCTTCTTCCCTCGAATACAACGGATGGTCATCATAGGTGTATCTAGACTGAAGGATGTCTAAAATACAGCTATAATTGCCGTACGTTGTATTCGGGAGAAGAAGGTAGGCCCGCTGCCCCGCTGGAGTATATGTATTCGGGGGAAGAAGGTAGGCCCGCTGCCCCCCTGGAGTATATGTACCTTCGACGGAAGCTCGTTCAATGGTTCAAGTGCATAGCTTTGGCATAGCTGTAGACGAGTATTGGGCCGCTTGTTGCTACTGTAGGCCCAAGGCATCGACTCGAAGATCAATCGCTTCGCATCTGAATGCCGCTGTAATGGCAGGCTATAGGATGGGCGTAGATAAGCCCGCGCTTGAATGGCGTGCTATAGGATATACGTAGACAAGCCCGCGCTGAAAGGGCATGCTATATAGGATGGCAGTAGATGAGCCCGCGCTGCAATGGCGTGCTGTAGGATGGCTATAGCCTATAGATGAGCCCGCGTTGTAATCATGGCATTCTATAGGATAAAGCCGAGATGAGCCCGCGCTGACATTGACGCATTGTTTGCTATTGCGTAGCTGTAGACGAGCTCGCGCTGGAATGGGGTGCTATAGGATAGCTGAAGGTTAGCCCGCGTTATAATGGCGTGCTATATATAGCATCATAATACCTGTAGATGAGGCGGCGCTGTAATGGCGTGCTATGACTTATCTCATCGGATTGTTCAATGGCTGTCTCTTATACACATCTAGATGTGTATAAGAGACAGGCTATATATAGCATCATAATACCTGTAGATGAGGCGGCGCTGTAATGGCGTGCTATGACTTATCTCATCGGATTGTTCAATGGCGTGCTATGACTTATCTCATCGGATTGTTCAACCGTGCAGTTTCGCACAGTCCATGAAGACAAAATTACCTACGCGTGTACGTTTCCGCATGTTCCGCCTGAATCTTGCCCAAACTCGTGGTCCGATTCATGCATATTATAGTGAAGTCCCATTTGTGTGAGTAATATGCCCTTAGATTGTTCATGATCGGGTTCCTGTCCAAGTGTTCTGCAGACTTACCGGCAGATTCTATGAGCTGTTCTACCCTGCCATGCATGCGTGCTTTTTTTTTTTTTGCGTGCTTTGGCTCTTCTTGTCCTTAAATTCTTCCTTTTTTTTTCTTTTTTTTTTCTTTTTTTTTTTCTTTTTTTTCCTTCCCCCTTAAACGCAGGGGCCATATGCTCAGTTCTCTCATCCTCCCTTATCGCGGTTGCTTTCTGCTTGTCGAGGTGGGTTCAGCCACCTGATGAGTCGGTGAAACTCCGGCGAAACAGTTTGTCACAGGCCCTCGTTTGTTGTCCTCTTCTCCCTCCCTCTCTGCCTACGGTTTACTGTAGGCAGATCTGTTTGACTATATTCGTTTGTTGTCCTCTCCTCACTCTCTGCCTACGGTTTACCGGGCAGCTCTGTTTGACTATATATACCACGACTTTGCTAGCATTCTGCTACGGAGGTCGAGCGGCAGTGGTTGGGGCGTCAGACCCGTCACAATGCGCCCATGCTGTGCCTGTGGTGCCAGCGGCGTTTTCTGGAGCGTTTTTTTTTTTTTTTTTTCTTTTTTCTGGAGCGTTTTTTTTGGCTGTGACAGATTTTTCTTTGTTTGGTGGATGTTTTGCGGGCTTGTAATGGGGTGTGAACCGACAGACAGTCTGTAGAGTTTTCCATCTGGTGTGGGTGAGTGATAGTCTGGTTTGATTTTTGTCACAGGTACCTTCTTGAGGGCGGTGGTTGGTGGTCCCCACCACCTCAGGGTATCCGTTGTCCTGCAGTCGTTGATTCTTAACCACAACAACCAGGGTGGATTATCACTTACAGCGTAATCAGTTAGGGATTTTTTCTGCAGACTGTTGAGGGTTCGGCCTCCTCCTGATGAGTCGGTGACACTCTGACGAAACAGTTTGTCGCAGCCGCTCGTTTGTTGTCCTGGATTTTTTCTGCAGACTGTTGAGGGTTCAGCCTCCTCCTGATGAGTCGGTGACACTCTGACGAAACAGTTTGTCGCAGCCCCTCGTTTGTTGTCCTTTTCTCCCTCTTTGCAGACCGTTCACCGGGAAGGCATCTGGAGGACTACAATGATAGATAGATCGCCTCTGCTTGCTCTGGCCAACCCCTTTCTGCTCCTCAGGCATAATTTCAGGCCTCTGGAGGACTACAACGATAGATAGATTACTTCGCCTCTGCTTGCTCTGGCCAACCCCTTTCTGCTCCTCAGGCATAATTTCAAATTTCGGGTCTCGTTAGACACTCCTAAAAATGCTGGTTTTTAGGAATGCAGTGTGGTTACACGAATTCCTAAATACGAGTTGGCGAATGAAAATGTGAAAATGGCGTTAGGACTAGTCCTAAAGGATTCGGGAATCCCCAGGCAAAAGTTCCAAAAAATTTTACCTCCTCCCGAGCATCTAAATTCTTTAGGAACCTGCATTTCACGGAGTCTTGGCGACATGCGCATGGCAGTGTTGTCTCGGACTCCATGGTGCAGAAGCTGTCCGTCGGGCCAGGGGTTGGACATTGGAGGCCTCCGGTGGCCCGATGGAGGCAACGGCCACCACCGGTAGCCGTTGGCGGGCGAGGTGGACCGTGGAGGGCAAGCTGGGTTGCCCTCTCGTCCGTAGTCGACTGTTGGCTTCGATCCGAAACGCAGAGGAGGACGACGACTCAGGCGGGAGGAGATAACGACGATGTGCGGGCAGTGGAGGGGGTCCAACGGTCGAAATTTGAACCGCTGGCTTCGGCTCTGACGTCTTCTGCATACGGCGCGATAAAACGGACCTGCAGTCGGATCTGTCGGCATGCCCATGCCTCGCGCTCTTCTTCACACAGCGCATGGTCGCCGCCGCGAAGGTCCATCTCCATTGCCTGTCAGAGTCCCGCACGTAACGCCTGATGTCGACGCCACAGGAGAAGCCGCTTCTGTTACCTGCTGGACAACAGTGCACACGCCACAGATGATGACGAGCGCCGCTGAAAGAAGGCTGTCTACGTGCGGGGGATCAGCACCGTCGTCTTTTGTACGTCATTATTGTACGATGGCTGTCCTCCTGCCCGCCGCCCTGCATCCGTGGAAATTTGAATTCGAAATTTCAAACGCCTGCGTCCGCACGCTTTTCACCTCCCCGTCATGAACCGGGCAGGGCCTGTGTACCACGGACACAAGGCTGGAATGGGCGGACATCCTACGTGCGGCTACGCATACGTATATGAAAAGGGGCCGCGGATACCCTTCAGGACAAGTCCTAAAAGCTTTTCTTTAGGAACGAGTGTAACCATGCCGCACTGATTCCTAAAATTCTTTTAGGACTCGTCCTAAATCCTTTTAGGAATCCCTTAGGAGTGTCTAACGAGACCCTTTGTTTAGAAACAACGATGGATGCAGCAGGTTTTGAGTTCGCTAAGGCAAAAAAAAACATGCGGCCATAAAGATATCCGCATGAAAATGACAATTTCAGTAGAAAAGACTGTGTTGGGCTTTTTTTTTTTTTGTTCTTCTTTTCCCATCTAACACCACGGCCGACCCCTGTAGTTGTGACACCCAGCCTGACACCACAGCCATTGCTACTTTCATTGCTTTTTTCGAACTCGGAGCCTGTTTTCTTTTACGCGTGTCTTTTTGCCCATTCTACACTCAGAAAAGTGACATCAATGTACTTGCTCCTTTAATTTATTTCCAAAGGGTACAAACCCGGCCTGAGACCATGGCTGGCTGTGGGTACTTTCATAAGTTTCATTGCTGTTGTGAACTGGGCGCCTGTTTTCTTTGCCGGTGCATGTTTTTTTGGCTCACTCAACGTTCTATGTGAGTCCATAGATTTAGGCTCCTTCGCATCTGCTGACTATGTAGTGCTCAGCCGACCAGCGCTCTATTCCTAGACTGCTCCTGTCTGCTGCTGTAGTATGTGTATACAACCAAACCAGCGCTGTGCGCCTATTGCTAGGCTGTAAATAAAGGTACTACAAGCCCTCTGCCCCATTCTAAAAGAGATTGATATGGTTTACAGGTTTAGGCTCCTTTCCGTCTGCTGACTGTGCTGTGTACCCAGCAGACCAGCGCTCTATTGCTAGACTGCTTCTGTCTGCCGCTGTAGTATGCGTATACAACCAGACCAGCACTGTGCGCCTGTTGCTAGGCTGTAAATAAAGGTACTACGAGCCCTTTGCCCCATTCTAAAAGCGATTGATATGGTTCACAGGCTTAGGCTCCTTTCCGTCTGCTGACTGTGTACCCAACCAGACCAGCGCTGCATGCCTATTGCTAGGTTGCTGCTGTAAGTAAAGGTACTACCAGCCCTCTAGACTGCCCCATTCGGAAATAAAGGTGCTACCAGCCCTATGCCCCATTCAGAAAGAGTCTGCAGTGGCTTCAGGCGAAGAGGATGACAAACGAGGGGCATATATAGTGTTGTCCGTCGGACGTGCATGGCATTGTGTGCTTTGGTGGATTTGTCTTTTTATAGAGTCAGAGTTTGCAGTGTTTTAGCGATCAACATTGGAAGAGGAAGGAGGAGCCTCGCCAAGACTACAGCGAAGCAACTTTTGAGTCTTTTGCCGCCTCGATGGCATTGCACAGCGAATACAAACGTGTACGTTCTTGTTACACTTTGGTTAATCCTTCGTCTTTTTTATCGAGTTTGCTGTGTTTTACAGATTAGATGGCCGCAGATGGCATTGTGATGGGAATACACCGTATAGTACACGTGTACGTCCTTGTCGCAAGTGTACGTCTTTTCGTACACGTCATCTTCCATGCACGCGTAACGATCATGGCACTGAATTGTGCACGTGAACGACAATCATGAAATATAATGTGCGTGCACATTCATAGAGCTATTCCATGTCACACTCGGCCGTGAGAGACGTGCATACGGGTTGTTGTTGTTGTTGTTGTTTTTTGTTTTTTGTTTTTTTGTTTTTTTTTTCAAAGCTTACTCGCCCTTTTTAATTAAAAAAAAAGGGCGACGGCCTTGAGAGATCATGTAACTGCCCGGGCCAGTTAATTGAGAATTATTTTGTTCTGTTCCTGTGGTTGCATCTGGATTCGAGCGTAGCTCTGTATCTCAGCAGTTTCATGGGTGTACCAACTGAGCTAGATGCATTGGTACTTGAGGACTTTTTCGACCGAGCTCTGGACGTAGTTGAGGTTGTTAGTTCTGCTCAAATGCATCTCACCGTAGTGTGAGTCTAGTTCCGCTCAAATGCATCTGACCATAGTGTGAGTACAGCCTCAGGGCGTACACACTAAGTTTTGTATCTTATGTGCATCCGACCGCATTTACATCCAGAAATGTGTTAGAAAGTCCTTAGGTAGTGCGAGTATGCATACTCCTCAGTGACGTAAGGTAAAATTTGTGGGCTGTCTGATAATTCTTCGCACTATTCGCCACCATCATCGTGTCACCGGCTGCTCCCCTTCTCCCAGTTACTTGCCCTTTCTCTTTGCGACCTTCACGCCTTTTAACGGATTCCGTTAATCCGTTAATGGATCTCGCTCATCCATTAAACTGGAACAGGGACAATAGAACGACGACTCAGTTGCATTGAATTAGGGATGAGGATTGAATTATAGCCGTTGCCGGCGAATACCTTTTTCGGCGGTTTTCGTTTTTTTCCAATATTAACTGAATTTATGACAAGTTCTTGTCGTTTTCTTGTCGTTTTGGCGAACACCCAAGTGTAGTAGCAGCAGTTCCTTTTTCTTTTATAGATAGACCCACAGTTTTATATATAGACCCACTAGTATTAGTAGTAGCAGTTCTGTTCGGCTCATTTCCTGCCTGCAGAAGAGAGAAATAAGGAGACCGAAAAGCAGCAGCTATTCCTTCTTCGGGAAATCCGTTAAAATCGGAGTGATACAGAGAAAAAAAGATTAGCATGGCCCTGCGCAAGGATGACATGCATACATCTAGAAATGAACCAAGGGAAAAAAAAAACAAAAAAACAGAAAAAACAACTGGCCTAGTAACTCAGATGGTATACCCGTGTGTTGAAACATACACCTGAGTCCAAATTCTCATCAAATTAGATAAGTAGTAACTCCGAATTTATCTGGGGCCGTCAGTGCAAGCCTTAGGATGTTTGCTCGAGTTCAAGGATGATATCTCAAGGCTGTTGCCCTTTCCCAGAAAAAAAAAGGGGAGCCGTTGAGGGGCCCGGGCAGGACAAGTGTTTGACCTTTATTTCTGTGCACTAAGTAGAATTGCACGCCACTAACACTCTGACATCACTGGTTGCGTCGATGATGGTACCTCCTGCCTCTTAGAAAAGAAGTCTACGGGGAGAAGAATCTGATGCTGCGGTCTTCTCCCTAACGTACCACACCCTGACAATGAATGTATACAGGGTATATTTCTGGTTGGTACAGCCATAAACTGGGTGCGTTTGTGTTAGCTGGGGGAAGACGGTAGTAATAAATATCGCTTGCTTCCAACGCAGTTAGTGTGTGTGTGTGGGAGGGGGGGGAACCCCTCTTCCACCCATCAATCAATCAATTAATCAATTAATCAATCAATCAATCAATCAATCAATCAATCAACCCATCCCAATCAATCGATCAATTAATCAATCAATGAATCAGTCAATCAATCAATCAATCAGTCAATCAATCAATCAATCAATCAATCAGTCAATCAATCGACCAAATCCCAATCAATCAATGAAGATTTTTTTTTTTTTTTTCTAATTCGTTTTCACCAACCCCAACCCCCCCCCCCGGGGCAGAAACTCGTTTCTTTTTTAATTTTTTTTGGTGCTAGGGGGCGGGGATGGGGTTGCGCAACCCCAACCAGCCACCCCCAGGTCCCCCAACCCCGCACCCCCCCCCTCTCCTGGCCTCCACGGCCGCGCATTGCGTGGCCACGCGCAGCCACCGCCGCGGGGGATTCATAGGGTGGATGCAATATAGAGCCGACCAAACAGTTCACTGGAAGCAGTGCGGAGGGAGCCCAGCTACTACAAGTCTAGAAGCCGAACCCCCCAAACCCCCCTGTATCTTTCTCCCTCCTCCTGAGTAATCAAAGTTGCAGCTGGTCCGCTCTGCTGGGCACGGACAAGGAAAATGAACTGAGCTGATGGGACTGGGTGCCACGTGGAAGAAAAGAAGGTGGCAAGGACCTTGAGTGCAATAAGGTTTTCGAAAATAATTATCAAACCCTGCACCCCGCTGTCAGTGAGCTGATGGGACTGAGTGCCTGATGGCTGTACGCCGTGTAATGTACACAATTAGAGGTGCCAAAGCCCAGATACTACAGATAGACTCAGAGAGGTCAAAAGAGGTCAGAGTAGTGTGTTTGATAAAGTAGTGTGTTTGGTAAACGTTTTTCCTCTGTGCTCGGCGATGGGAATCCTGTTTCTAAAACCTTTTTCCTATCTCCAGCGCTGAGGGTAACGCCCTCATGGTGGCCAAGACATAGTCTCTTGAGTCTGTTCTCCTCGATGTGGTGGCCTTTAAAGAGCTTTCAGATCGTGGACGAGTCCTCGTCAACTCCCTGCTCGCCAACGTCTGCCGAATCTCTCGAGGCGCAACTCGTGGTGGTGGCAAGCTGAAAAAAACAACCTTGGGCCGCTTGGAGGTAGTACTGGATAGAGTTGTTTCCCTCAGTTCTCTTCTTCAAGACGTGAGCTGAAGTGGAGTCTAATGAAATTGCCATGCCACCAAACAAAATAGAAAGAAAGAAAGAAAGGAAATACCCGGCAAACGAAGCCCGGGAGAGGTGTAGACTGGTGCAGAGCATAAGGTTTCTTTGCGCTTCTGCAAACGAAGAGTGTGTGTTGCATACTTATGGTTGAAATCGCTGGTGCTCATGCGCAGGTGTTGCTCGTTTCTTAAACCACCAGCGCATTTCCCAGTCATTTTTTCAGAGAGTCTGACGTGGTGTGCATGTTGCCGCGTCGGGTGGGAAGTAGTGTAGTCGCAGTGTGGTGCCGTTTTGCGGCATCCATCCAGGCAAAACGGGTTGCATGCGAGGCCTGTTTTACCTGGATGGATGTCCAGTGAAACGTGCTGGTGGTTTAACCGCAAGTACACGGCCCCAGCCTTGCAGAAAGTTTTTTGTCGCCACAAGCAAAACTCGGAGGGGCCGCATGGCGTCGGGCGTCGTTGAAAAAAAAAACCGGCGGCCTCCGAAGTGGTGCGGGTTTCGTGCTGACACCCGCGGGCCGATGTGTGGTGTGCTGGTGGTTTAAGATTCAGGAGTTTAGCTCAAGTGGAAAGCTGTGAATCTCCATAACACCACTCAGGATGCTTTTTTGGTTAACTTGGTCTCCCTTTTGCTTGATTACTCGTTTGGGTGCAGTGCAATTCTACCAGGTGCAGTGCCAATGCGGCCCAAGCTGCTTAGAGGTAGCTATCCTTCGCCTGCTCTGATGTGGAAGCAAAGAACTTGGATTTGAATGCTCGCTCTCATCCCTGATCAGTGATCTTCATATCCTTTCAACTCGCGGAACGGCCTTCAATCCGGGAATTCCCGCTCGGAATACATTTCTCTCGCAACCAAGTCAGGTTCATCTACCTCAACTGTCCTCCAAGATGTCGGCTGGTAAGCTGTTGTTTCCCCTCCCACCGGTGTGTGACTAGTACATATCTGTTGCCCCCTGAATTCAAATGTGATATTCATTTGTGATGTTCTCTGTGATCATTATCCTGTAGTATGTAGGCAGCAGGCTTTAAGCCTTCAACTGTTTTCGAAATTTCGAAGGTACTTCCGAGCCTGTTTTTGCTAAGGCGGAAAAGAACCGGGCGGCGAGCGCCAATCTTTGTCGAAGCATCAGCAGTGTTTTCCTTTCGACTGGCGCAGCCAGCCGTTTTGGGCGCCTCCGGAGTTTGTGGAACTACACGTTTTTTGATGTTTTTGAAGTTTCCTGTGAAAGTTGGTGGTGGTTTAAACTTTAAAGCTTGATGAATGCATGTCATCCTTGCCCAGGGGCCATTATATGGTCATTATCTAGTCTGTAGGCTTCAAAGCCTTCCAACTATACTTGAAGTTGAAATGCATGATCCACTTAGTACTCTGAATTGTGGTCTTCCCGTCGAAGAGGCCGAAAGAAAAGAGTGCACACATGGGCACAATTGACGGGTCTGGTCAGGGCACTGTTCAAGCTGATGAGACATATTAAGTGATGACGCTGGTCGGCCAGGTCGGGGTACTGTTGATGCACGTATAATGCATGCATGGACATAATTATTGCCGACGCTGCAGTCTGAAATTGCCTTGCATGGCCTTGCCTGTTTGCCATAATGGCATGACAATGCATCTGCATTAGATTTGGAGGCGGCTGATACTCGGTAGAGTCAGTACTACTCACACATCTCTCGTCTTCCCGAACGGGAACCCTGATGCGACATGGCATTGCTTGGATATCATCTAGTACATGCCTTGGGAGGTCCAGCTGAGGGCGGAAGTATAAAAACTTACGGGGCTTGCATTGCGACGAAATACAAACTTTCAGGGATGTCATCTACATGCAGCATTGGGAGGAAGACTGCATGTTTCCCACCCATTTTTTCCCAAGTGCTCTTATTAAACCACCAGTATGTTTCCCAGCCATTTTTTCAAAGTCACAGCTTGCATGCTCCCCCAACTTTGGGGCTTGGTGGCCGTAGCAAAATGGTTGGCAGCGCCAGACAAAAGGATGTCTGCCCCCCTCCGGTTTGTTTTTTTTTGTGCACACTGCACACCGCATTTACAGCCCTCCCCCCCAAAAAAATAAATAAATAAATAAATAAATAAATAAATAAAAATTCCAGCCATGGAGAAAAAAGTGCCTCGGAAACTGTGGTGAGTCAGCCTCAGTCAGGTGGTAATAAAGTAACTGTGGAGACCAACGAACCGTGACAAAGCAACTCTTAGCAGAGGCTTGGGCAGCAACGTGCCTGCTCTGCGGTAGCTTTGAAGACAAAGAAACTTTTACAAAGCCACTCTTAGCCAGCGCAATGTGAATGATATACTCTGGAGTCGGCAGGGTTTACCGTGACCAAGGTGTCACAGCAGCACAGCATGCTTGGCGGCTGGGAGAACCATAGAGGCATAGCTAGCGCTGCCAAATGAAAGGGGCCGCATCGGGGCAACGGGGCTGGATGCAACCATGACCAGAAGTATGGCACAATGTCACTTTTCATTGAAAACTTCCGTTCAAGATTTTTTGATACCTTATAGTAGGCTGATATTCAATATTATTCATGAGTGGCTCGCAGCAGTTGGTAAATAGAAATAGAAAAGAATGTCGTTCGAACTGGCTCCATGAGTCATTTGAATTTTTATTTATCATATACTAGGTAGCAAAGCTTCTTTGAAGCAAGTGTGGGCGTGTCAGGTTTTAATGTTCAAGAGGCCAAAAAAGAACTCATGAATGTTGGCAAGTCTGTTGTCGTGCGAGTTTCCAATGGGGGCCAAAAAAAAAAAGAAAAAAAAAGACGGCATTCTTCACGCCATGGCCCCCCGCCTGCAGGAAGCCTGACCTGCCTGTTTTGAAAGCTGGGCGGTGTTTTTATTGCCTTTTCAAACTTGACACATGAACGACCTGCGGGTATTGTGTTTTCTTTGCCCACTTGAAACTCCATCGTGACTGAAACGTACTCATCCCCGGCTGACTGGCTGCTGGTAAGCTGGAAGAGAAAGGGCTATCCCGCCAATCAGGAGAAGCATGGCAGCCACAGAGAGAGAGAGAGACAGTGTGTGCACAGAGTGAGTAGTGCCAGCCATAGCTGGCTGCTAGTGCACACACACACACACACACACACACACACACACACACACACACACACACACACACACACACACACACAGAGAGAGAGAGAGAGAGAGAATCAGCGAGTAATGGCTTGGACTCTTATGAATGGTTCTGGTGGTCCTGCACGAAGAATACAGGCAATCCCTAACGCGCCTTCGGCCTCAGTAAGGCACGAAGAATACACTACACGAGCATTCACCTCAGACAAGGGTGCCTTCCGCGCCGGCGAATATGCAATCACGGGATCGGCCTCCCTAGAGAGAGAGAGAGAGAGAGAGAGAGAGAGAGAGAGAGAGAAGGGAGGGAGGGAGGGAGGCTGGTGCATGGAGGGGAGACCCTTGGGAAAGGAAAGAAAGCCCTAGGAAGAGAGGACTTATCTAGTTGGTTTCTGGCATGGGAGCTCCAGCGAGTCATCGATGCACATTCATTGAGTGGTCTTGCGGTAGAGAAGCATCGTGCTATGTCAGCGATGCGCATTCATTGAATGGTCTTGCGGTAGAGAAGCATCGTGCTATTTGACCTATGTGGTATTGGTGACGAGGGGTGCGAGTAGTGTAGGGCACCGTAGGCAAGGGATAGGGTGGTGCACATTGGCTAGTCGATGGGAGAAGTGACTGGCAATTCATTGGTGGAGATTTCAAAGGCAGCATTCTTTTGTTCATCAACAGAATTCAAGGTTGTCAATTTTTTGTACGTGTGATCAATTCCCTGTTGTTTCTGCTCGATGTTTTGTAATAGATCGACTCCATGCAGATCTGTGGGAGCACAATGTGCGTGTGATTTAAGTTTCATCTCCATGGTATCCCTGGCTGCCTCTTCTTTAATCCCGTGAGTCAAGGGCTGAAAGAGTGTTCACTGTTCTTCTATGCATCTTCTGTAGATTATAAGCAGACCCGTCTTTCTCCTGCTTGCCCTTTTGTTTCCGAGGGATCCATGAACTTTGCCATAGAGCGAATAGTAATACTAGCCCGAGCCTTCTGCGCAAGTTGTCGTTGTTGTCGTTGTCCTGCTGCTGCTGCAGCTTTGGCCTCAGCTCGATTTTCAGTTCTTCATCCTCGGAGGGCTGTATGTCATTTCTCTATAGGAGTCTATTCCTTCATTTATTTATTGCCCTCTACTGATGTGATTTGTTTGTGCCCCTTGTGTTGTCGGTTGGTTGTTGCATTTCGTATTATTGCCGCATTCTGCTTGGGTCGCTGGGCGATCTTCAGCCATGTATCAGGTATCTCTTGCCATCCTCCTCTCATCGTCTTTCCAATTCACTGCAGGGAATAATCACTTGCGGACTTTGATCCACAAAGCCCCAATTGTCTTTCAGTTTTTTGCTCTGAATCTGTACCTGGCTCCAATTGTCTTTCAGTTTCTTTGCTCTGAATCTGTACCTGGCTCTCGCTTGGATTCCTCACGGCAACGTGCCAACTTTGGCAAGTGAGCAATCCTCACGACTTTCATGCAGTGGTTGACTGGGACACAGGCCCATTTTCGCACTCTTCCAGACTGGTGTTATGGTTGGGGAACATCCCCGGAAAAAAAGAAAAAAGAAAAGCGGGATTGGACTCGCAACTTCTGCTGCCATGTTTGGCAGTTGCTTTCTGGGCCCCCGCTTCGGGCACAGTCTCCCAAAGTGGCGAAGCTCAGAAAAAAAGAGATTGCGAATGCGCCCCTACGTATGTCATGGCGAGGGCTACCGCAGAATAATAAATGTTCAATTCAGTTGCGCGGAACGATAGGATAGGATGGGTCTGAAGGACGGAAGGAAGGAAGGTAAACTGAAAAAAAGGTTAAAAAAAAACTGAGGGTTAGATCTCAGCTGTGCCCTCCAAGTCGATCCCGGAGGAGCAAATGTTGAATTCTGTTGCTCAGAATGAGGGCATGGTGCTAAGGAAGGTAATTGAAGAAAAACTTGAAAAAGTTCAAAAACTGACAAAAAGTTGAAAAAACTGAAAGTTGACCTTCAGTTTTTCAGTGAAAAAGTAACAAGTGAACTTAGCGGTGAAGTAATAAACAGACATAAAATTATACAATTGATGAAAACTGAGATTAATAAGTTAATAACAAGTGTAGTAATAACAAGTGTAGTTATAAACAAACATAACATTATGCAACTGATGAAAACTCAGACGTTCACGAATTTCGGAATTTGTGAAAAACGAATACCGAAGGAAACAGTAGTAGGCTACTTAGTCTAGCTAAAAGGGGACCACAAAGTCGATGAAAAATGGAGAAATTGCTAATTAGAACGATGGAGAGAAGATTACCATGGGCCGTGTGCAAAGATGACTCACATAAATGGAGAGAAATGGTGCAAATTTGAAAGAAGAAGAAGAAGAAGAAGAAGCTACTTGTGGCTTGAAAATCATACATAGTATGAGCCTGGTGACACGAGCGATCGGGTTGAAACTTTTCATGTGAATTTACTCCATGTTGGGAGCATGACCGGATTCGCTGAACTGTGTGTGCTGTGTCACTTGCCTGTATGATGCATGCCACCCCCGAAACAGCGATACAACTCAATAAAGAGATGGTACTTCTGGGACGGGGGGCTTCGTAATTTATATGCTCATTGCTTATCATCCAGGGCTGTTCTGAGTCTGCAGACGTGATGTGAAAGTTTATTGAAGTCAAGTCTCCTGTAGAGATGGTTTCCTCTCCTCTGCCTTTGCTCTGCCATTTTTGGCCGTTGAATCCATGATCACGAATTGTCCATGCAATTCCCTGCTGATCAATACTGTAGATGCTAGTAAAAAAATAAAAGGTTCTTTTTTTTTTTGAGGAGGGGGGAGGGGGGGGGGAGACTCAATTCTTTAAAGGGATAATTTTGCGAAATACCCCCATGAATTGAGATATCTGCCAAAATGCCCCTGAAAGATGCGGGTAGAGCGGAATGCCCTTTTGGGCCAAAATCTTTGTGTTATGCGGCTTATGCCCCTGTCAAGCGGGTGTGCAAATTTGCAATCTGGACCTCACCGTTTGGGCATGGCCTTTTGCATCTGGGCCTTAGGAAATGATGACAAGCACGGGGGTATTTTGCAAAGTTGGATGGTATCGGGTAGGGGTATATCACAAAGATAGGGGGTCCAACCCATGCGAGGGGTATTTCACAAGAAAAATATTTTTGTCAGTGGGGCATAATGGGCATTCCTCTCTACCCACATCTTTCAGGAGCATTTTGGCAGATATCTCAACTTATGGGGGTATTTTGCAAATTACCCCTCCTTTAAAATGTGGTCTGATGGACCACGGAAGTGCCGTAGGTAATAAGGAATTGAAGGGTTTTTTTTTTTTTTTTTTTTTTTTTTAATTACCCAAATCCCTAGGCTACCAGAGTGGCCCCGGGTCACTTGCCCGGCCGGGCCAAAAACATAAAAAACATTTAAATATATATATATATATATATATTTTATTTTATTTTTTATTCTGAATTTGATGAAGGATTTCGATCTGACCCTGATGCATGGGTGAGATCTGGACGACGTTCTCTTCCCCCCCCTCCCTTATATCGAAATTGCAACCAGGTCAGGGCACTCGCGCCTGGTCTTAGATATGGAGCCCTTATGAGTATACTGCTGCTGTGCTTGTCTTTCTCGGTGCTGGAGAGGTTTCCGTTGCTGTTGACTTATGCCATGCGGAACCAAGACGGGATTCCGACTGGATTTCGACACGTGGGGCATTGAGACTTCGGCTTCCTTTCCTGATCCACTTTTGGCAAGTGTTTGTGGTATGCTTGTATTTGTCACACACACACACACACAGAGAGAGAGAGAGAGAGAGAGAGAGCTGTCTCT